AGAGAGAGAGAGAGAGAGAGAGAGAGAGAGAGAGAGAGAGAGAGAGATCGCTTGGCGAGTCCAGAAGAGGGGAGGTGTAGGTGTCAGTCCGGGTTATGTAACAGTGCTTACAGAACCCCATATTTTATTCACCTACACCCAACAGTACAACTATGGAAAACAACTGTTCCCAAATGCTTCTTCACTCTACGGTTATTTTAAGTGATTGCAAGCAGACGGGACAGGTAGGATTGTGTTTTCTAGATGAGCACAGAACTTTTATGCAGCCCGCTTTCTGTTGGGAATATAAATCAGGCAACAGTAAAATGACAACACCCTATCCCCTTCTGCCTCGGCCCACCCCTGCACCATCAAAGTATTTAGAACACAGTAAATTCTATCATTGCGTATGGTACCTGACTGGCACAGGATATGGGGAGCCCTCTGCAGAGACCATGGACCCAATGACCTTCCCAAGTGCTGCTTCGGCGTCACCTCCGCCCGCACCCTGGGTCTCTCCAAACATCACTATCCTTACTGCCTACATGGAGTTTTCCTCGCAGAGAATTCACCCTCAGTAATCTCCCGGGGAAGGGTGTGCAAAACTGTTTCTAAGGGGATCACGAGGCGGGCAGCAAGCATGCTGATGGGTTGGAATGGATGCATTCCCGGGACCTCCACGGCTCAGGAAGGGCACCCCGGGCTATTGCATCCCTCTCCCTCCTTAACTGGAACAGCAGGGGAGCACCTGTCCACAGATGAAAATAGCGGGTACCGCTCCCCAGCTTCTGCAAAATGAACTCGAACAACCGTTAAATGCTTCTTAGGTCTGGAAGAAACACTGACAAATGAGGTTGGGAGAGCACTGAGAACGAAGAGCAAAGAAAATAAGTGCGCACCAGATAACGATGGCAAGCAAACAGTTCCTTGCACTGAGGGCAGGAAGCCTCGCGAGATCTAGGGGTCGGGAATCTCGTTGCGTTGCCTAGCGACCAAAGGACGCTGGCGGGCCCCCTTGGCGAAACCCCCGCTGGAGCCCTGAGTGTCCTACCATGGGGGAAGAAGGCAGCGGCCGCAGCTGTGGGATCACCAGGGGCCTGCAGAAGCTGAAGCAGCAGGCGATGGCGTACTACCAGGAGAACGACGTCCCCCGCAGGCTGGAAGAGCTGCTCAACTCCACCTTCTACCTCCAGCCCGCAGACGTCTACGGGCACCTGGTAGGGACCTGCGGCCAGCTCCCCTTCTTCCCCCTCCCCTCCGGCCCGGCCCACGCTGCGGCAGCGCGCTGCGCTTGCGTCGTGGAGTCGCGCCTGCGCGCTGCTGGGGCCAGGCGCTCAGTGACCCGAGCTGGGAGGATGCGGAGAGGGAAGCCGGGACGAGTTGCCCCTGGGGACCGAAATTGAGGCGCAGAAGCGAGAGTCGAGGGGACCCTGGGCGGCCCTGTAGCCTGGGAGGCTGTCCCGAGCCTGCGGGCTTCTTTACGATGCAGGGAGCCCGCCCGCCTTTGGTTTTCTAAAACACAGACCAGAACGTCAAACTCACCTCGGCTGCTGCTGTCAGGGATCGGGACTGAGCTGTGACTTGGCCGCAGCCCACCCCAGAGCCTCATTCCACTAGCTTCCACTGCTTCCAGCTATCTCAGATGCCAAGCCTAGGCACCAGGGTTTGCATGCCACAGGCACCCTACTTTGACTAGGTACCCAACTTCACGGGCCCGTGAATACCAAAACTGCAGATTTCGCTCGGAGGCCCTCTCCACTGGACTCTGGATTTAGCGTCCTTGAGCTCTCCCAGGGCGCGTCCTCCAACTGTAATCCTTCCAGGTGGCTGAGGAGCTCTTGCTAAGAGGGGAGCCCTGTGCCTCAGAGACTGTCTTGGGAAGAGCGAGTTAGGGCACCACTTTGCTATCTCAGTCTCTAGAAACTCTCTGCAAGGTTAAAACAAGACCAAAGGAAAAAAATTCGATTCCTCTTTCTAACTAAAGAACTTGTGCCTCGGGCGTTTAAGTGAGGCACTTCTGGCCTAAGACCCTTTGCTGGGCCCCAAGGGAGACTGACAGACCTCAGTAGATAAGAGTTCTTGTTGCTACCTCGGGTAGATCACAGCTTCCTGTAACTCTAGCTCCAGGGGATCTGTTACTCTCTTCTGTCCTCCTCAGAACATGTACACAAATACCAGTTTTTATAGACACACTCTTATACTAAAATAACAAGGATCTTCAACCGTTAAATAATTTAAGTGGTAAATAGGGACGTTTGTGAAGTGGGTGAAGGCCTGATAAGAACTTCAGTCCCTAAGGTCTCTTGCTAAAGGAGCTGTTAACATTGTCTGGTCTCAGTGTGCAAAGCTAGACACTCGCACTTTTGTTTCCATGTGGGATGCTCTCCCCAGTCTGCTTAGCAGCCTGACACTGGTTGGTACAGCTCTCTGGAATCTCCTGTACCTTGATTAGGGACGGCCCTAGTTCACTTTCTATTGCTTTTTTACAACATTCTGACCAAAAGCAACTTAGGGAGGAAAGGGTTCGCCTGGCTCACATTTCAGTGTCACAGTCCTCTTCGCTGAGGGAAGTCATCTGAGCAGGAATCGAAGAAGCGGCCATGGGGAAGTGCTGCTTACTGGTTTGCTACCCATGGCTTGCTCAGCCCGCTTTTTTATACCACCCAGGTCACCCTGCCTAGGGTTGGCACCACCCTTAGAGGGCTAAGCCATCCATGCATCGATCTTGGACCCCTTCCAAATGACTTGTGCTCTGCCACTTAAGAGAAACTGGAATTACTAAGACTCCCCAGAGGCCTTTTAGTGAGGTAGCACTATACAACAGCTGATGACAGGCAAGACTGTTGTCTTTAACTTCACTCTTCAGAAGCCAGAAGCCTGTTTGGGAGCAGGAGGTGGGGTGGGGTGGGATAAAATCAGCCCCTTCAGATTTCTTAAGTCTGAATGCATCACAGTGTTGTAAAGATCAATAACTTCCATAACTTGGAAAGAAGTATCAGGGAGTCAGTTGACTTGACCTCACTAGGATTAGGGTTAGGGTTAGTACCCCTGCTGAAGAGGGTACTAGGCCTGTTGATGAAGATGAGATGCATTCCTGTTGAGAGACCAATGAGACTACAACACACCACCCCTGGACTGGAGACTCCGCGTGGGCTATTCTATCAGAGGTGGGGGCTCATCCAGATCTGGGATGTTTTATAGGATAGAGAGTCACTGTGTCTGGCCTCTGTAAGATAAATCCGATGCGGTTTTCTGATTTTTGGTTTTGTGTGTGTCTTGAAGGCAAACTACTTTTCTAAACTTGCAAAGCCACCCTCCATATGCAAAGTAGCGGGAAAAATCATTCTGGACGGACTGGGGCTTCCTACTCTCCAGGTGGAGATCTCCTGCACCATCCAAAATCTTCCCAAGGTATGTGGCAGCTCAGCGTTGCTCTAAAATATATCCTGCCCAACTCTGCACTTAGCAGCACGGATATCTCAACTGCAGAAATGTAATGTTTTAGGATTCAATATTTGTGAAGCAAATACATATACATACAGGGAGGGGGCAGGCATTGGCAAATGGCGGTTTATAAAGGCAGAATGGGAAACCCCATGTTAGGAGGATGAGGGTTTTATTTTATTTTAGTTGGGCATGCTAATTAGGTGAGCCAAAGGGGGCTTCTGGTTGCTGGACTTCAATACTTTGATAGCTGGGCCTTGGTAGTCAGCCTCAGGAGGAGGAAGTGGCCAAATAACAGCATAGACGTTGGTGGGTAGCTTTAGGAATATCAGCTAAGGAATTTTAGAAGGCAGAGGAAATGGGGGAAGGGCAAGGCTGGCTAGAGTCTCTTCATCGATTCTATCTCAAGAAAAATAAAAGTAAATTAAAAAATAAAAACAATTTAACTGTTTAATTCATGTTGTTACCTCCCTTTTATAAATACAATTGCTACAGCCTGTGAGAGGAGAAGAATAAGGTTAAATCTGTAGCTAGTTTTTTGGAGAAGTAGTGTTAGGGAAAGTTCAATGTGGGACTTTTAGACCAGTATTTTAACAGAGTAATTTGAAATGGTTCGTGAAATCACATGTCTCAATGTTTCAACAGGTATGCAAGTATAGAGAAAAATTATGTGTTGTTTTCTTCCTTGAAGTAGGTGATAAAATACCATTAATGTTAAATGCTAAATGAACTCAGTTTCCTGTCTCCTGGGAGAGGCAGAGAAAGTGTGGAACCGTTTGTGTCGTTGCCAGTACATCTGTTCCGTGGTGATACCTGCGCACTTTGAAGTCATGGAGAATGCCTCGCCAGAGGTGGCGGACGCGGAGGAGACAGAGAGGCACCTGGCAGTGAGCACGGCTCTGCAGTGGGTCAATGAGTCCATGACAGAGGAGCTGTGGGGTCTGGACCCCTCCAACCAGGCAGAGGTGGACCACAGGCTCAGGTAACAGCTGGGTATGAACGCCTGATTTGTGTCTTTGCATTTCACCTGTCAATAAAATGGCCCTGGGTAGCAGTGTTTCTTAGACATGTATCACTCACAATCCTGTTTCACCCAAGAAATTTAAAAACCCACTGGTGTGTATTCGTGTGCATACACGTGTGTGCACGCTGTGAAGGCCAGAGTTCAATGCCAGTGATTTTTTTTTTCCTTCGTCATTCTCTACCTCGAATTTTGAGACAAGGATCCCGCTTTTACCTGGACCTCACTTACTCAGCTAGACTGGCTGGCCAATGAGCCCCCTTTGTTCCTGTCTGCCCAGAACTAAAACGACAAGCATGCACCCTGTTCCTGGCTTTTTACACAGTGCTGGAGAGTGAGCTTGAGTGCTTCACATTTGCACAGCCAGCGCTCACCGTGCTATCTCCCCACTCCAAGAAATTTTTACACAGAGATATATAAAATTGGCCCAAATAAAACATTTAGTAATGAAAATAAACTTATTTTAAAATGATCCTTTGGTCTGTAATTTTTACCATTTATTAAAGATTGCAGCAGATTTGCATACTAATGAAATCGATGTGTTTACTTTTACACTTGGAATTGAATCTTGGTTGAATATTTGATACTGCAGGACAAAGCACCTTAACTTTTTTCAGAGTTGATCAATATTTTAATTTATTTATTCATTGTGTGTGTGCACGTGCTACGCCAGCACACTGTGGCAGTCAGGTGACAGCTGTCTGGGGTGAGTTCTTTCCTTCCACCATGTTGGCTTCCAGGGGTCAAACTCAGGTTGCCAGGTTTGAAGGCAAGTGCTTTTGCCTGCTGAGTCATTTTGCCAGCCTCAGGGTTGATCAATATTTGATTTTATAGGAGTCAAAGCTGAGAATACTGCTTTGCATAAATACACAGAATACACAGTTCAAATGGCAGAATTATGTTTAGAACCATATCAGAACTTGTTGGAAATTCTGTCCTAATCCCAAAATAAATTTAACAACATATTTAACTTTTAAAATCTTTTAAATTTTTATTTATTATCATTTATATGTATGAATATTTTTTCTGCATGTATGTATGTGCACCACATGTATGCCCAGAGGAACCAGAAAAGGTCATTGGGTCTCTTGGAACTGGAGTTATAGGTGGCTATGAGCCACCATATTGGTTCTCAACCTTCCTAATACTGTGACCCTTTAATACAGTTCTTCATATTGTGGTGAACCCCAACTAGAAAATTATTTTTGTTGCTAGTTTATAACTATACTTTTGCTACTGTTAAGAAGTTATATGTAAATATCTGTGTTTTCCAATGATCTTAGGCCACCCCTGTGAAACAGTGACTCCACCCCCAGGGGGTTTGCAACCCATTGGGGTTGAGAACCGCAGGTCTAGGTGCTTGGAACTGAACTGGGTCGCCACAAGAGCAAGATTCTCTTACCTGCTGAGCCATCTCCCCTCCCCCTCACTCAACAACTTTTCTATGAAACTCAAGTGAGCAGCTGAAGCAGTGATTTTGAAATTCAAACATTCTAACATACAATCCAAAGACACACCAATTCAGTGTTTACCTTTTGGGGAGATAATTAAGTGTTTTGTTTTACATAATTAAACCATGGTGTTTCTATAAGATCAAGAAGCTTATATATATAATAAAGCACCACAATTTGTAATGTACAGTGGCCTTAAATTGGAGGTGTTTCAGGCGGGTTCATTGGTGTTGT